GTTTTGTGTTGTTTTTTTTTTTTTAAAGTACTCATTGAGATTATAGCTGGAGTAGGTAGTACCACCTTACAAGATTATCTTGAAGACCCTTGGTATCAGTGGCTGAAAACTGCTAAGGCAAGGGTGGGTTGAAATACAGATCGCAGCCCTGCAGATGGACTTTGTCCAGTTCATGGTGGGTCCCTCAGTCCCGCCTGGCCCAAGTGCTGTCTGATCCGTGGTGCAGGAAGAAGAATAGATTTGCATCCTCAATTCTGTATGTTCAGTACCTAGATGAAACAGCACAGATCTCAAAGACACTTACGGAAGTGTTTTCTATTTTCTTTTCTCTATTTTTACCCTATTTACCCATCCCTGCTGCCACCCCCAAGTGTGCAGCAGGACTGGGGCAGCTGCACAGCGGGACTCTGTTTCTCGACAGCCCAGGTGGCGGCGGCAACTCGTTTTGGCTGCCGCTGGCCCCCAGTCCCATGGAGACTGGCAGGTACCCATGTGCACTACGTGGCCCTGGCCTGCCCTGTACCTATTCCAGACCTGCCCCGACTGGAGCAGACCAGCTGGGACCTGTGCACACAGCCCAGCCCTGGGCCTCCCTGTGACTACTCCAGACTTGCCCACCCATGATGAGCAGCGCCACTGTGGCTGGTCAGAAGATGCTGCTGGGGACAGGGGAAAAGTGGCCACTTCTCCGTTGCTGCAACCGCCCAGAGCCCATGTTGCCCTGCAGCTCCTCTCTGCTGTGGTCGCCACTGCCCCCAGCACCACCTCTGGGCTGCCCAGCAGGACAGCAGTAGGTGGAGAGGAACCACAGGACAACTGGGGAGCAGGCTCCAGGTGGCTGAACCAAGAAGGTTGTGGCAGTGGTGAGGAGCTGGCAGCTGCTTCCACCCCTGCCACCCCCCTCAGTGTCCAGCAGCAGCTTTTGCCTGGCTGCCACTGCTGCTTCTTGTGGGTAGGATGGTGCAGGGCAGGCCAGGGTTGGGGTCAGGACTGTGTATGTGGGTCCTGGTTGGCTGAGAGCTAGTGCACTCCTGCTGGGGTGAGTAGGGGGCTGGGACCAGGGCTGTGCACTCAGCTGCTGCTGGGTGCTGGTGGCAGGGAGGAGCTGCAGGGCACACAAGCAGCTGTTGCAAGGAGGGTAGTGTTGTCCAGCCTACAACTCCCTAAAACTGCCTGTGTGGCCCACGGGCCCATATAATTTCCACCCCTGTTCTAAGATACGACAAAGGTTAGGGCTGAAGTATTTCAGCACTGGATTTCTGCCTGGGGCTAATTTTAAAATTCAGCCCAAACAGTTTATGCATCTCCAAGAATACATAGAGCAGAGGTCAGTAGAGCCTTTCCATCTGGCCCCCGGAGCTGTGCCTGTGGCTGCCTTCTGCAGCAGTAGGCTCTCCCTGTGCTTGGTCACACTCAGCCCCCTGGGGCTCAGGTGCAAGTGAGCTGTCCCTGTGCCCTGCAGTCGGGTGTCATGGGCTCTGGCACAGGGGAGGGCTTTTGTACTGTGCTGCAGGTGAATGGTGGGAAGAAATGGCAGCAGCAGCAGCCAGGTTCTAATGCCTGCCTATCTCTAGCCCAACCTGGGTCATTCCAGCTCCCTCCACCCAAAACATTGCCAACACCTGCCCTGGAAAGAATTGTTTTGCCCAGGATACATTTGTGAGACCTGTTATTTAAAATGTTTTGTTCCCAAGTTCTAAATTAGGATGTGGGATTTGGCAAGGAGCTGACTGCTGCTTTGTTATGGATGTGCCTTTGCTATTTTTATGAAAATCCACTCAGATTCGGCCAGGTTATAAGACCCTTCTCTTTGTTCACTAGATCAGTGGCTCCCAACCTTTTTTATACCAGGACCGATTTGTCAACATTGGCCAGTCCCAACCCAGTAAATAGTTTAAGTAGAAAACAGCCTCCTAGCCCTGCTGGTGCCCCTCACTCCCAACCCGCTGCCTCCCGCCCGAGGCCTGAGCCCTCCAGTGTGTGGGGCATGGGGCCCTAAGCAGCCTCTTGTAGGCTGGAACTGTGCCAGCCTGCAAGGGAAAACCCAGTTTCCCACATTTGTCTCACTTAAAGGAGAATCCATTTTTAAAGTTTTGTTTATCCATTTCTAAAGTTTTGTTTGTAACCCTTTCATATATTCTTTTGATCCACTTTTCTCAACCCATGGGTTGAGAGAAGCTGCACTATAGACTTGCTAAATTCTGTCCTGGCCAGATCCACAGTTTCTGTCATGGTCTGTGTGCTTCAGCCTCCAACAGCTCCCGGTGCTGCCTTGATAGCACATGCATCTTCTCCTCCATAGCTTCTTCCATGCCTGGACTGCACCGTATATGTGCTGTCCTGGCGAAACTAAGCATGCTATAGTTACAGGACTTCATGGGCTCAGGACTTTCCTCATATTGGCTACTCCCAGTTGCGTTGGGCCAGGAACTGGAATGCAGAGCTTGGAACCCGTCTCATGCTCTCCATTGTCCTTTGGGTGGCACCTAGGCAGCATAGAGGAAGGATCCATCTTGTTCCCCCTGCATGTGAATCAAAACAGGAGTGGGAGGAAGAGAGAGAAGTAGACGGAGAAAGAGAGTCTAAGAATAGGGCTGGGGAGAGGGAAGAAGAGCAGGCACTACTGGGGCAAAGCATGGTTTAGAAATAGTAGTAACAATACAATGTATTTAGACTGTTTTGTGTAACTCATGCACATTATGAATGCATAAATTAAGATTGAAAATGCAACCTTAACTCTGTTATTTCCTATCTTAAATCCTTGATTTTTTTGCAGCCTTAATACTGTTTTCATGTAATAATAAATTAGTTTGGGGAAAGCATTTTAAGTAGCAGATAGTATGGTCAAATCCTTTTTTATTTCCATATTTTATATTTCTAGAAAAGAGTGCTGATATAGAGTACCTGAATATGGTGGTGAAGGTGGAGTAGTTCAGACGTGTGCTACCCATGGTTTATGAACTATCACTCAGACTAAGATGCAACTGGTTTGTCAGCATTCGCAACTTTTGCGTACCAAGATAAGTGTCTGCTGCTTTACATATAAATGACAAGGAACAGAGTCCATAATTTAATGATCTGGTTTAAGCACAGGCAAATTATCTGATGTCTAGCCCTGAAGTTCTGAGTAGGCAACTATAGGTTGAGCAATGGTAAATTTTAGAGACTGCCAAGTGCTTTGAGGAGGGATTTAAAGGCAAGGAGATGACTTGATAAACAGAGGCACACTTCTCCCACTATAAGTTAGTGCAATAAAACTCCTGAACTTGCATGGAGAAATTCCAGTACCATATTAGTTTTAAACGACAGACTTCATGTTAACCAGGTGAATTCAGCCCATACTTTCCTATGGTTTAAATCATAACGTATCAGTTGAATATCTTATCGTACCTTGTAGGGGTACTGTAAAGATTATGTCTGTATGTTTGTGATGCAGTCTAGGTCTCATAAGATGCACTTAGGGATTCATCTTTTTACACATTCAGGAAGATTCTTGAACTCAAATTCAGTTAGCAGTTTTGCTGAGCCAGTAAAGAATCGAGTTTTTCTTCCAAATGCTTTGCTTCCATGTTAGTAACAGGAAAAAGTCGGCTGGTTTGACTCCTTACAAACAGCAGTTCTGACCAAAAAGGTGTCTTTATGGTCAAGTTTTGACAATCCTATGGAACAGGTTCAAGTTTTATGTTGTTTTATAAACTTCATGATCAAGTGGAATGCTAAATTACTGCAAATCCTACTGTAAACTAGAGCATGAAATCTGAGAGCTTTGCGTAGATCCTGTGTTCACATTGTTTTGTTTGTAGTAGGATTCTAAAGTTGGTGTTTAAAAATATCTAATTTATTCCTCCCAGGGAAGTGTGTACAAAAAAAGAAAAGTGACGGAAAGTAGTTAAAGACTGCAGCAGTAGTTTTTACGTACCATGAATACTACAGATTGTCATGAGCCCAATAAAAGTGCTTGTAGAACAGGTATGCAGTAAGGCAAACAATTGGCTGCAGGAAGTGTAGAGAGACTGCAACTAGTTATACCAAAATGCTGCTTTTTTTTTTTTTTTTTTTTTTTTTTTTTTTATTTAAAGAGCTGTCTTTGGATTTTTTTTTCTCTTCCAGATAGGAATACTGTAGACCATAGGTCAGCAACCCCAAGCATGTGTGCCAGAGCATGGGAAAGGGACTGGGTCTGTGCTGCCACAGCAAGGATTGGGCCTCTCGC